GACTTCCACGAGAGGGCCCATCGATATCTCTCCTATTGAGGAGGTGATAAGTCCCATATTGCATGTCTATTATCTCCATATGATTCGTGAACGTATCTGATCAACGCCGTTATAATCATCCGGTTAAAGATGACGTTTGACGTAGTCAAGACATGCTACTCCTCATATCAGATACTCTAGACATCTCAGGTCTGAGGATCCAAGAACAAACCGCTTTATGAGATTCAAGTCATGACTCTGTCCATGTGACAATCTCATGCGGGTCAACCAGTCACTCGTTCACAACGAGTACCCATGATTGTGATATGCATCCAATGCATCAATCACACCTCATGCTAGTCTTAATTCATCATTGTTCCCACAATGATAACTGACCAGGGAGTTTAGAATCATTCTATAATGATTCAAGGATGCCGAAATATAACAAACATGCCAATCATATAACGGGAATGTAATGCATTCATAAACCAATGAATCAATACAAAGTCAAAATGTCATATCACGGATCATCCTAGAGCATTACAACCAACAATTGGTTGGATTGCCATCCCTTATTCTGAAGTTTCCATCCCTCCTATGGAATTCCCTGGTAGCAGTCTGGAAAAATCTAGCTGAGATCACTAAGCAGCTTGCAGCAATAGTCATGATTGCTCCAGTATTGTCCATTAAATTTGGTGTTTTGCCTTTGATACTCGGTTTCTGGGTCGATATCTGCACATTTCCTGTACCAGAAGGGACGATAACCCATAGACTTGAGTTTCTTTCGGCGGATCCATCCATGAATATCATATATTGGTCCATAGGGATTTTTTACTTGGCAATGGCGTGGACTTACTTGGACCTTATCCAAAAGGTAACATAGGTCACAGCTTAGTTTGCATTTCTTCTGATAACTTTCTGATGAAACTTACTTCTACTTGCTTCATTTGTCAGATCGTTCATAAACGAGCCTTTTGGTTTCTCCAAGATGTTACTGATCCATTGTACCGCATTTCGGAACTGCATTTGTGTGGCATCCTCTTTGCACTTGCTTTCCATGGGGTATTCATTGTGATTGTACTTCACGTACCAGTAAAAATGATCACTCTTTTATGCCCATCATTCTTCCCCCTCAAGTTCTGGTAAGCTCCTCAAAATCTGTTCCTCTCATTCGTCATAGGTTTTTCCCCTTTCTGCTTCTTCAAGGATATAAATTACAAATTTTAAATGCAAATGCAGGAATTCAAGTGGTAATTTTGGGCTCGATTTAGCTGAAATTTATGCTTTTAATCACTTGGCAAAGGAAACTCTCAGGATGTTAGGCAACCTTACTGATCCAACAAGAGTTGAACCCATTGTTCGCAAGTGGTTCATCTCTGTCAGTTCTTGGCTCCAGTTGAATGATTTCTTGCTTGAAGTACCTCAAAGCAACGCTGATCAGACCGAGATACCATTATTGGGTCGAAATAGATGGCCTGGAAAGTGGTTGGTGGTGTATGCCATAGCAGAAGGCTCTATGATCTTGTCTCCTGAAGATCGGAGGGCATACACCTCGGAAGATGACATCGACCCGCCGAATGATTCAAGGTAGTAAGCTGATATCACCATCGAAAGTGGCATTTGAAAAAGATTGACGGTGAGAAAGTTCTTTTTTCTGATAAATTACAGTTGCAGGTTTCCACTGAAGATTACACTATTATTAGTTCTAGGTGGTTTGAGCTTGCTTCTGGTAAGTACAGCATTCATGTCTTTGCCGTTATTGTTGGGAAGGGCTTTCTTCAACTTCGTTCCTACGGTCGTGATGCCTGTTGCAATCAAATCAAATGGTTTGTAGTTTTTCATCTCGCTTCTTAATCATATATTCGGTTTTGCTTGTCAACACTGAGTCTTTCCTCTGCCATCTATCATTGTAGATCTCTACGCTATCTGGCTTGGATATCATATCCTCCGAAAAACCCAGTATGCATATGATCGTATTCAGACAGGAAGGATCGTTTCGCTTCTTCACGAAATCCTGATGTTCATGCGGAATCTTTTGTTGATCTTGATCTGGGTAAAAAAAAAAAGTAACCATCATCTTCTTTTGTTTCCCTGTTTTGGGATCACTTATTTCTATAACCTGAAAATCTGATGAACAGATTGTTGTCATACCGGTGTTGCTCGGAATCCTAATCGATCTGATGGTCATCATCCCGCTGAGAGTTCCGATCGATGAAACTCCAGTATTCCTCTTGATTCAGGATTGGTTACTTGGATTAGTCTACCTACACATCTGGATTTTACTGGTTAGACACAGACACATCTATGAACACATCTGTAACTTTTATACAAGAACAATCCATTTCTCGTGCAGCACGTAATGTTTCCCTCGCAGGTTGCACTCGACGAGGAGAACGGCCGCTTCGCCACAAGGGCATGGCGGGAAAAGCTCAGGAGGATCAGAAATGTCGGCATCAACCAACTGCCTACCATGTGGCTGCTGAGAGAAGTTCTGGGTTCGTTCATAATCACCCTTCTGACCGCTCTGTGTCTCCCGTGCGTGCTGGTTACGTCCGTAGTCTCCATGCTCGGATATTCCTCGGCCGTCAGCTCAGCCGTTAGGCTGTTCGTTTGGCCAGCCTTCCTTTCCGTCATCCTTGCATGGTTAGACATCAGACTGATCAGTGATCTCGTCATCCGTCTTCACCGTATGATCTTAGATGACAGGTATTTGGTCGGACACAGGCTGATAGACTTGACGGAAGATGGTAACAACGAAAACAGTGATTAACAGTTCATGAACATGAATACCTCATTGTAGATTTTGAACAATTGAACATTTACTTTCTCTGTAACGTTTTTGAAGGATATGAAGGAGAAAGCTCAAGCATTACACGCCCTTGTTTCTTGCGGAACATATCAGAACAGGTTCTGGTCGCCGGAGTTATTGACTAATGGGATTAGTTATGTCGGCCCGTACGAATTTTAATAAAAATAATAATAACAACAATATTGAATATGCGCAATTGGAATTTGAGGGTTTGCATTATTACATCGTCTTTTCGACATGGTGAGTCATTATTAAAAAAAATAGAGCGAATATTTTTATCAAGCAACATAAATATCTACAATTTTTTAAATTTGTAATAGACCGATTGTCATTTTTTATTTTTATGATCCTTTATCAAAAGAATTTTTGAGGAACAGAGCACTAGTGGGATGAGGCGCGTGGAAGATTCCCTGGTTCCATTATTATTGAATCATCAAAACAGCTTTCTAAGTTACCAAGAAAGAAAAATATCCCATTAAAATACATTTTCATTCATACAAAATATCTCCAACCACTGGAAAGAAAATAAAGAAAATATATATATATATATCATACGATTGGCCCACGTGACAGGAACCTGATCCAATTAAATTACTTACGAGAAAATACGATTAGAGTAGGGGACGATGCGAAGGACAAATGGTTAATGGTTGGTAATGATGATTAAGAAGATGATTAAAAATCAATTAAAGAGGGAGGCCATGAGAGTGCAGCCAGCAAGGAGTACGGAATCCTGATGATGCTGCAGCAGTTGTTGCAACCAACGACTTGGGCTTACCACCGCCGTCCGATTGCCTCTGCTGTCCTGATCCTACGGCTCTTATCGATAGCGAGAGATCACTCCCTAATCTCCCCTCGCCGCCGTTCCTCTTCTCTTCACTCGGACCCTGTAATTGTAATTATTTATACATTACGTTATAACAAAACGGTCCAATCAATTACTGAAACATAGATATGAATATAATGTCCGCGTACCTTTGCTTCGTTACCGAATCTGAAATTTTGACCAGTGCATGTAGATTTTCCCAGACTCAGATCCAATGTATCGTGCGGCATCGTATCTATCATATATATAGTTTTAAGATAAGTATCGAGGCAGATTTATATAAAATTAAATACTAATTAAGGTAAGATGGCAGATAATGATACCAGAGTCGAGCTCTTCCTCGTATATGTTGGGATCGAAATTGGTGATGGCGTCTTTCCCGTTACATTTAATCGCAGCTTTATCATAAGCCCTACATATACATGTATACATATATATATATATATATTTAGTTTTTTTAAAGAAAAAAAAAAGGCAAATTAAACCCGAGGAAGGAGATGAACTTCAGTACCTTGCAGCTTCAATCTCGGAATCAAAGAGACCCAAGTAGACATATCTGGACACGGGAGAAATCTCATTCAGAAGTAATTAGGGACCGAAAAAAGGGTTAATTAATTTATAAAAAAAAAAGTAAATTAAAAATACTTTTTGCCGAGAAATTGGCCCAAGCGAGACTCCCATCTTCCACATTTATGCAGAGTGACCCCTCTGAATTTGGAGGTGCCCCTCGGGAACCCCGTGCTCTGCCTCCGAAGGAAATGCACGAACTCCTCCTTCGTCAGATTGCTCATCTTCGTTTTAGCATGCAACGCCGCAAAAATTTATTAACTGATATAATCATAATCGCAACCCATTTTTATATTTAATTATTTTCGGTACGTAACGTAATCACCTGCTTCAAATCGTGCATGTAATCTTCGATGTCGAAATTTATGTCGGCCTCTGCTCCTCGGAACTTTATCGCAGCCCGATCGTACGCACTGTTTCCAGAAACAGATTTGATTTGGAATGTGTCAAGGTCTGGGACTTAGCCAAATATATAATAATTAATTAAAGGGTGAGAGTGAATGAACGAGAAATATATATATACACATATATGTGTGTGTGTGTGTGTATTACCGGGCGGCTGCATGTGCCGTGTCAAATCCACCTGTTTGAACACAACATTTTACATCAGTTTTAAAGACTTCTCCTTCTCAATTCGAAACCCTAGAAATTGAACTGACTGGAGAAACATGAAGCATACCCAAGTACACTTGCTTCCCACAATCCCTGCGTCATCAGACCCTCAAACATGAAAATTCACATCATCCACACATACATACATATACATATATACGGTGCATATATATAGAGAGAGAGAGAGAAGTACCAGATATGAGACTCCCATCTTCCGGTTCGTCGGTAGAAGGTGACTCCTCTGTACTGGGAGCTGCGAGAGCGGGGCCCGCGGCGGCTTTTCTTCGTCGGTGGTGATGACGTGTCCTCTGCTCGACCGGATCCGCTTGAATCCGACACCACCCCACATTGCTCCTTATTCACCGGAAAGAATTCCCGGGTCACCGGGAAACCCGACCCGGATCCGACCCGTTTCCTCTTTTCTTCCGATTCTTGGAGCACGATCGCCGCTTCGTCCGGCGAGTCGTTTAGATCCCACATCTTTAATTCCCTTCTTCTAGCCGTTTTTTATGCCTCTCAAATTTAGTATAGAATCGATGAACTTGATCAGAAACAAAAGGACGTGAAGAGAAGAATTCAACTCTACAGCGGGAACGAGAGAGAGAGAGAGAGAGAGAGGAGAGCCCTTTTTCTTCTACCACCCTAATCCCTCTAGTACGGGCTCAAGAAAATAAATAAAAATGTGTAAAATGAATTGACGACTAAACATAATTTTTTTTAAAAAATAAAACGAAAACATCATGCATTTCAAATATAATTTGTATATATTATGTTCAAGAAAAAAATTAACAACCATTGTAAATGGGTAATTTACTAGTTTATAGATAGAGACATTGATAAGGACATGACCAGTTTGAAATTTGATTCTTATCTATCCCTACCCAAAAGTATTGAATATTGAATATTGATTATTATTATTATAATTATCATTATTTTCATCTTCTTTCCTTCTTCCATTTGACTCCCTGTCCACAATAATAAGCTGTGTATGAAAAACAGTTGCGTATATTATTTTTTTTTTAAATAAGGAAATAACTAAAAGAGACCAGACCAATTGCAAGTAATCTAATTCATTTTTTTCCCTGTCTAATAATTAATTTATATGCTATTCTACTGAAGATGAACTAAGTCTATAATTGGTTTGATTCTTCTAACTCTTTATCCGATGGATTCCAACCCTAAATACAAAATTAGTGAATTATGTTTTCTAAAATAAAATAATAAAAATGCCAAATGAACAAAATCGGTGAAAGGGTTTGGTAAAGGAAAAAAGAGACAGGAATAACGTGAGGAGGAAAAAAAAAAAAAGAAGGGAAAATATTACCGAAAATGGGGTATCACATAGTACGAAAATAGTTCCCTGTTTCAGGGTTTCTTATTAATCGCCTTTATACCCCACAGCCTCACTCTCCCCTCTTAGCGCGTGTTATGACGCTCTCTTTTTTTGTATCATTCCATTTTTTGATCATTGGTTATTAAATATAAACAAATATAATATTAAATCGAATATATATAGATAAATCTATTTTTCAATATTGTTAATAACGATTCACTTTGTATTCACAAATTGTATATATAGAACATGAAATATTAAGAACGCAGTAGTGGGTTTTAATTGGAAAACAGGAAAAAGAAAAAGAAAATAAAGAGAGTGTGGACACGCGCTAAGCAAGAGAGAGTGGGGATACAGAAGACATTGTCTTTTTAGGCGTGCATTCAATAAACACAAAGGGCCCAGTTCGATTCGTACAACAATTAATCGTAAAATCGACACGTCGTTCAACCTGTCAAAATGAATAGTTAATTACCATTTACGTGATTGTTGGTTAATAATCTAGCGTATATTATATACATACATATATATATATATATATATGTATATTGATTTGACTCTTTCGATGATATCCATTCAATGATCGTTTAAACGTTTAATAGGAAAACCAACAAATGAATATATCACATTAATTTTAAAATAAATATATTTTGCAAATAAAAAAAAAAGGAATATGAGAAGGAAATAACCTAGGCTGAAAAACACATGGGCCGGGACAAATTAACTTTTGATTATCTATACTTCAACGTTCGCATACGTAGATGAATGGATACGTACGTATATGCATGTAACTATATTAATTGTTATTACAGCAAGCAACCGAACATATTGCATATATGTGTGTGTGGTTGAATGAATGTAATGAGAAGTGGAGGGGAAAGGAGAAACCTTCCCCTAATGGAAGAATGACGAGGCTTTGATGTAAACTGTCCTTTCCTCTAGTAGCAAACACGCGCTCTCTCTCTCTCTCTCTCTCTCTCTATATGTACACACACATACATACATATATAATTACACACACACGGGTGTGAATATGTATATATATATGTATATGCCCAAATCATGTTTTGAACCAATAATATAAGGCCTTAGCCCCACCTTTGTGTTGCATACGTGTTTGTGTCCACTAATTTCGTGTTTTAAGGATAAGTATTCCATGTCACCGTATATTTCATCCGGTTCCTCTCTAAGCTATCCAAATTTGAAATAAATTCCAATCGATCAAATCTTACAATATTTGGAAAATCATTTCTTAAATACAATTGAGTAAAATTCATAAATATGGATAGGTATTTCGAGTACTACTACGTTGGGTATCAACATCTAAATATTTTGTTAAATCCGTCTCTTTGATGGCATTTTATTTTATAGAGAATAAATCTCGAAATATGGGCGTCTAGATTCATCATCCATTGTCTTTTGAGACTAATATCATATGAATAGTTATGATATATTTAGTTTTTTTTTTCAAAACTAGTAGCATGAGCAACCTGGATTTGAGGATCTTTTTTGTCGATGATAAACACGTGGGCTGTATAAATCTTCGTATTACATTGATGACGCAGAAAAGGGAGACATCGAGAACCTCCAAGTGTGTCGGCACAATTATCTACATTTAAAAATAAAATTAAAAAAAAAAAATAGGATGAGAGGTTGGAAACATCGGACGGTGCCGATAAAATCATCCTCGTATCGTACGCATAGATAAAATGGTGGGTCCCACTTGACAAGATCACTGAAACTGATCTTACGCCCAACGTGACTCACGTGATCCCCTCCCCCCCCCCCCCCCCCCCC